AAAATAGTCATATAAATGGGATAAACGACCGAATAAACGAAAATGACTGTAGCACCGTGTAGCGTTTAAAGGTTGTGTAAACAGAATAAACTACGTTTAGACAAATAATGACATGAATTTAAGATTGATTAACTTCTTTGAATTCTAGTCTTTCTGGGGGAGGAGGGAGCAGCAACCAACCTACGATCAGTCCAATCAGAGGCCTGCCGGCGTGCACTTTATTTGACGAGCATGAGGAGCATCGATGCTCTCTGTCGGTCTCCCTGATGCTCTGAGCCTTGACCGGCTCCCTTTTGCTGTACTGAAGCTACCAAGAACAAGCAAAGTGGGACAGCTCGGAATCACCGCGGCATGCAGGTGAAACAAACAACAGTGCGCCCTGCTGCCCTTCTGCGACTGCGAGTGCGAGCCCAGCAGTCCGGCCCGGCCGGCAGCATCAACGACGACAGACAAGGAGGTATCCAGGCCAGCCTTGACCACACGGCCAGTGCAGAGCGAGCTCCCGTTTGAAGTTTGAACGCACGCGGCCGCCGGAACCGGAAGCGTAGCGGCCACTACTCCTGCTGCCACTGCCACTGCGTGCTCCGCCTCCAGCCCTCCACGGACCTTACGCCACACGGCTCGTCGGGAAAGTGAGAGAGATGGGTCGGTCTCGTAGTTGCGCTTGCGCGCGTGCTCATGTGTGCCGTCGTTTCAACTCTCAGGTCTGAACTCTGAACCCAGCACCGGAACAGGGAGATCGAGCTAGAAAAACTGAAAAAGGGGTCAAGAATCTCAAGATGACCAGGGCACGGTAGGAGTAGCAGCTCCGTCCTGGCCAACTCGCATGCAATGCAAGCCGATGTTGTCGGCAACGGGTAGCGGCAGACAGCACCTCTGCGCGCGAGGCCGCGACCGCTTGTCGATCTACTTTCGGACTGAGCCGGCCGGGGGCAGCGCCGGACGGCCGGCCGCCACTTATTGCCTTCCTAGTCCCGCTCTCGTGGCCTGCAGGTTCGATGGCGCCTGACGACGACGCTGCATGCAGACAGGCAGCAACAAAGCGACTGCCAGTGCCAGGCGCTTGCAGGGTATGGCCAGCAGCCAAAGTTTACGCTAGGGAATTGTTTAGATCGATGTTAGGAATCAGTATTTTACATTGTAGCATTTTCGTTTGTATTTAATAATTATTGTCCAATCATGGCCTAACTAAGTTCAAAAGATTCTTCTCGTAATTTACAATCAAACTATATAATTAGTTATTTTTTTTATCTATATTTAATACTCCATGCATATGTCTAAAGATTTGATGTGATAGAGAGAGTGAAAAAACTTGCAATCTAAACGAGACCTAGCTCTGCATGCGCGTAGACTGTGCTGTTACCACCAGCATCAGTGTGCAGCTGGCTTGCCACTGTGCTGTTGCCGCCTGGGGGTAGGGTAGAGTAGAGTGATGGTGAAGGCACGAGCGAGTCTGCGAGTGAGTCACCCACCACTCACCACGAGCTCGTCGTCTCTCTCAAGTCTCATCCATGCATCCATCGGCCGGTGGTCTCCTTTTCGTGTGGCGGAAGCGACCGCTGCTCGATCGCTCCACGGATGACAGCGCCGCAAAATCTCCTGAGATTTGTCGCGAGATTGTATTGCCGGGAACGAAGAAATCGCTTATCTTTGCAAATGACAGGGACTCCTACTACTACTTGTATGTGTCGTGTCAACTGTCAAGACGCAAATTTTTGTACGTAGGTTAAGCTTCCGATCCGTTTGAATAGGTTAAAGATTATAAGATTCTGAAAACAAGAATCTATACACCATCCAAACTGGAGGGATATGAAGCTAGATTTTCAAATTCTTGTACTACTCAAAGTCTCAAAATACTCATAATCCCTTTTTCAAAGAGAAACTAGCAGGTTAAACAACCGGTCCATGTATTAATAGGAGTAAGCATGTACATATATAAGAAAACAACAAACCCTCTACAACAGCATCACCGAAAACCAACAGAAGATGTTGGCAATGGCATGACAAAGCACCACAACCAGGGGCGAAGCTAGGTAGTTATTAAGGGTGCAAATGCACCCTCCAAAATTTGTTTAAACAGTGTTTTCCTAGATTTTCGCTATATGTGCACCCCCAATAGCACAAGTCTATGCGTCCACAAGGCAAGTGCACCACTCTCTAATTTGCTCAAAGCTGCCCACAAAACCAAATGTCACCTTGCCTATTGCAGCAACAACCACTAGGAGATTGACTAAGCGATGCCTCCATGGAGGAAACGACATCCGCAGATGCCGTTACACACAAACTGGAATACCTGACAAGTTTTTCAACCAGGGAAAAAACCAAGATAGAGGCAGGAGCGAAAAGAGGACACACGACAATGCCTCCAGCGAGGTCCACGGCATCCATAGGCATCGCCATTGTCAGCATCAGTGTAGCCGAGCAAGGACTTCTCCCAATGCCCCCATCCCAAACCACAAGCCCATAGCATTGATCTCACCGAAGTGAGCCGCCACGAACGAGTTGTCGAAGCCAAACCGAACAAGTCACTGGCATGCGTGATTCGTCAATGTGGCGCTAGCCTCACAACAGCCATTGCCAGCTCGCCAAACACCAAAACATCTCGGGTCACCACTCCGTGTTGCTACAATATGTAGATAATATATAGATTTGAAAAATCCCTAGTCATTCAAACAACACCTATGTAGGTTCTTGACTAATAACTTCATGGTATATTTATGCAGACTACATTGCACCATAGAATGGAAGCGTGGTTGGCCAAACTCTAAAACATGTAAAACATGTCCGTTGTGTACGAGTCACTAAGGGGGTGTTTGGATCAGGTGACTAAAACTTAGGAGGTATCACGTGAGGGTGTCGCATGGGGTGTTCGGATACTAATAAAAAAATAAATTATAGAATCCGTCAGTACTCCACGAGACGAATTTATTAAGCCTAATTAACCCATCATTAGCACATGGTTACTGTAGCACTACATTGTCAAATCATGAACTAATTAGGCTTAAAAGATTCGTCTCGTAAATTAGTCGCAAGCTGTATAATTAGTTTCATAATTAGTCTATATTTAATACTCTATGCATGTGTCAAACATCCGATGTGACAGCGACTAAAGTTTAGGAGAGATAGGATGACACTACATCTTTTCAAAGACCGTAGATTCACAAGACGTCTTTGGGCCGAGATCGCAACTTGGATCTCAAACAACAATCTACACCCAACCACTTGGTCTCTCGATAGATTGCATGGTAAAGAACTGGTAGACTATTATGTCAAGCATTCGAAGCATGAGCCGGGGTTTCAATCTTTGATAATCCTAGTTACGTGGAGGTTTAGAAAGAGAAACTTCAAAGTTCATGAAAAATCAAAGACGAGGTGGGCCTATGGATCATTGCGGGTGTAAAACACCTTTCATGTGGGCCTGTTCATTTGGTTGGAAATTTGGTCTTTGGTTTTAAAATTTGGGTCTTTGGTTTTTGTGAGAGAAAAATCATTGTTTGGTATTTGGTTTTATTTTGTTGAAACCAACAAGTTTAACAGAGCTACACAACTTTTTTTTTTTTTTGTTAACCTTCAGCTGTTGCTTTGTTATTGTTGTTGGGCTTCGGTCGTGTTTGTATAGTGCTTTGTATGGTACCGTCTAGGTTCGTTATTACTCTCGTAGCTCTCCTGCTGGTTTGTTTTAATAAAACAGCAACATGTTCTGTGTCACTTGCTCAGTGTGTGTAACATGGCACATGTCGTGGTATTATTAGCAGCTAGCTGAAATGGTTTTCTTTTACAATATATCTCTCTTTTTCTTCCTCTCTCTTTCCATCCACGCACAAGGAGAATCACGTGTTGTTTTTATGAGGTCAGCAGTTTATTTTCCAGCACACGTACAGGTGCAGCTGAAAACGTAGTAGCACATGACAATTGCCCAAACTAAAGGACCACGTAATTATTTTCCAACCTGATCGATCTGTACCTGTACTACTCCTATATACTACTAGTACTGCATAGTTAAGCTCTTCGGCACGTGCGTGTCGCCCTTTTTCCTCCGAGACGTTGCAGCTACTCCCTGAAATGCAACGCCACTCGGCCCTTGTGTGCGGCGCTGCTTGTTTGGCTTCTTTCCTTGCTGTGTGTACACTCCAGAGTCCAAACCCGGCCACTCGAATCATCACCACCTGCTGAGTGAGTGGCGAGTGGTCACAATATATCTGAACCGAATGCCCCACCAGCCTATAGAAAACCACACGGCCAGCCGGGCCACGCTACTCCGATCCCTTGAGCTTCTTGCGGCCTCTCGTCTTCCTCCCTGCTTCTTCGATCCTATTCCTATCCAAGAACCACACGGCAGGCCTCCCTCTAGTCTAGGAGATCGATCTCTCGGTCGTAGTAAGCACAGCTCCACCAGTCCGATCCAGCAGCTGTAGCTGGAGCCTGAGGTGGAGAGATCGGATGCGTTGCTCTCGAGCTCCGATCGAGTACAGCGCGGAGGCAGGCACGTACAGGCAACGCCACGGGAGACAGAGAGGGAGAGAGGTGGGCGTCGTCAGGTAGGTCGTCGACGATCTTGCTCCCCTGCTTCTGTTCTGTTCCATCTGCGTCCTTCATGCTCTCCGTTTGCTCAGGATTCAGGCAATCCCCCTCTGCCCTCTGGTGAGGGTAATCGTTGTTTTGTGGTGGTTGGAGTGTCTGTGATGCTTTGTTAATTTGCAGTCCCTTTCTGCAACCGTTGGGGGTTCTTGGTAACGGTTAAGGTTGGTAACGATTGATAAGCTGCCTGCTTTGTTCACCTCGATCGCATACCCATGTACACTGTTTTCTTGCTCATCATCCTGTTGTTTGCTCGATCCATCCATATATACCGTACGTATTGTGTTGTGTATATCTGATGAGATGCATACACTGACAGGCGAGGTGCCTGACTTGTTTCTTTCTTCTGCTATTTTGCAGCTCCAGCCAAGGAGGGAAGCCCCCTACCCTTGTCTAGCTGAATCCATCCATCAGATACGTACATGGGCAGGCTTAGAGGGAAGAGCAAGAAACTGAACGACGAATCCGACGAAGACGGCAGCGTCGGCGGCGATGAGGTGTCCGTGTCCCCCACACCGCCCAAGACCAAGAGGAGGAGGGGAAGGCCGGCTCACAAGCCTCTCACGGCGGACGACGGCACCGACGACGTCGAAGCAGAGGACGACAAGGACGCCGGCGAGGTCAAGGAGGATTACGTAGACGACGGCGCCAAACCCGCTCCCGCTGTGCGGCCAGCAGGCAACGACGACGACGACGCCAAGGGCTCGACGGCTGAGACCGGAGCTGCCAAGAAGCGGCGGCGCCGGCGGGCCAGGTGAGCGCAGGCTCCGCCGACGACCTTGTGGGAGAGGACGGCGTCGGGGAGGGACACGTGAGGGCCAAGTCCAGTGGGTTCCGGCCCAATGGAAGCCGCCGGAAGAGCACTCCCCGGCGAGCCGCCGAGGCTGGAGTGGAATGCAAGTGAGCATCTACCCCAGCTACCACGTAGTACTAGTGTTGAAGTTGACTTCTTCTTTTTCACTAATTACTGGGGGTTTTGTTATACCCTTCTCTGTTAATTACATAGGTTAAAATGCAATCTTCAAGTGTGTGGTTGTCGACAGAATATCGTCGACAATTCTCCGAGGGATATCCCACGAAGGTAGATTGATCGGTAGAGAGGCGTGTAATCAAGAACAAGAAGGCAACAGAGACACACGAGTTAGACAGGTTCAGGCCGTCAGTATGGCATACTACCATACTTCTGTGGTCTGTTGGTTTGTATTGGCTATCGTATGATATTGCATGAGTTTGGAGGGGGTCCTTGCCCGCCTTATATAGTCTGGGGGGCAGAGTTATAAGTCGGTTAGATCTGAGAGATAACCGAAAAGTAATAATAGATTATAAGAATCATGAAATCATACGATCCTAACAGCATCGTAGTATCTTCAGGATATCTTTTCGATGTCTTGCGGGAGATGCCGAGCAGCGCTGTGCCCCTCAAGGCTTCGTCTTGTGGGCTGGGCCGCCTCTGGGGGCGCAACCCATGTGGTCTGCCGTGGGTATCCGGGGTCGTAACCCCCACAGCTAGCCCCCGAGCGTCTTGTACCTGTTGTGCAACGTCATCTTGAGCTTGTCCGAGCAAGTACGAACAAAGCCGAGCAGTCAAACTCATGGTTCGACCACCGTGATGAGTTGCCGAGCAGTTGTGAACAGTTGCCGAGCAGTGTAACCCAAGTACGACTTGCCATAAGGGTGTAAGGAGCTCAAGTTCAGAAACGAAAATTTCTTCGCAGTGGACCAAGTGTGCCCACTTAGAATCCGACCACGAGAAAGAGAGATAGTCTTCTTCAGCTTCAAGAGGCGCGGAGTCTTCCAGAAAAACACATTCATCGCAAGATAAAGTGTGCCCACTTAGTTCCCGAGCCTGACAGTAGATGACGTAGTTATGTGGTGCCAGGGTCCAAAGTAGAAGAAAAATAGAAGACTAGCCGAGCAGGTAGCCAGTCCCCGAGCGTAGCCCCGAGATGAGAACAAGCACATTACCGCAAGGTAAAGTGTGCCCACTTAGTCTCCGAGCCTTACAGTAGGTGACGTGGTCACGTGGTGCCAGGGTCAGAAATAACGGTCAACTAAAGAAAATTCCCCAGTGTCGTGGAGAACAAAGTTGTAGAAATGGCGTAGTCCCTGAGCCACAAGTGAAAGTATCGGCGAAGTCAAACCGTGGAGAAAAAATCGGAGTAATGGCTGTTCAGTATCGATTACTGAGCCTCAATAAATGGCGGCGAAGTCGGCGAATAATAACCAATTGAGGCGATAAATGAGCGATATGGGCTGCTGTTGCACGAAGGCCCAGGTAACGGCCCATTAAACCACTTCAGAGAATTCGGAGAGGCGCAAATTGTGGGAACGGTTTCCCAAAAACCCTCGAATGCGAAACAGTGGAGGGTTTTTTTATAACTGCGCCGCCGCACCCCACGCTCCCACCTTTGCCACTTTGCCATTTCATCTTCATCCTCAGACCTTGTGCTTCCTGATTCACATCCACACGCGCATCCGCTTTCAATCTCAAACCAGATCTGAGAAATGACGCCGAAGAAGGGAGCTGTGAAGCCGAGGAAGGCGGCCGCTGGAGCCAGCCACGACGTGGAATGGGTGCCGTCGAAGATGGGGGAGGCGGAGCTCAACAGGATGGTGGCGGCGGGCGTTCTTCCAGACCGCGTCACCACCAGATGGTGGCCAGCCGGTGGTGAGCCCTTCCCAAAGCCTCACACTAATGAAGCTGTAGTGTTTGAGGATTATTTCTGGCACAGGTTGGGGGTTTCTGTTCATCCTTTCCTGAGGGATATGCTGGAGTTCTGGACAATTAGTCTGTGCAATCTCCACCCGAACACCATATTGCACATCTCAATTTTTATCCATTTCTGTGAGGTGTATCTAGGGGTTCTTCCGCACTTCAACCTCTTCAGACAATTGTTCTGGTTGAAGAAGGGTGGCAGTGGTTCCAAGGTGGTCGGCGACGTATATCTGCAACTCTAGGACGGGATGGCGAGCGAGTACATCACTGTATCGCTGAATACTTCTCTGAAGGGATGGAACGCCAGGTGGTTCTACATAAAGCAGAGCCATCCTGCAATCCGCTGTGACATCGACCACATTCCGGAGAACCAAATGAGCTGGTCGGAGAAACCGAGCAGTGCTGACATGGAGCAGGTGAGGGAGATCCTCGATCTGATAAAAGGCATGGAGATTAACAGTGGACTGGTAGTGGCAAGCTTCATAGTGCGCCGCGTCTAGCCCTGCAAGGAGAGGGCCCACCCGGGCTTTGACTTCAAGGGCGATGACGATGGCACCCGGGAGAGACCGGGGAGGCTGAAGAGGAGTGAAGTGCTAGAGTGGGCTGCAGAGCTGTTCGCTCCAAATGCCTCGTTCAGCATGTCAAGGCAGATGAGGGCCTTCAACTGTACAAATCCGCCTCCTCAGGTAACCATCCCAATTGTTTTGTTTGTGATGCTTTTTATCAATGATTGTTGTCGAGCAGTGAACTTATTCACTTATGCAAAGATGCATTCGCAGGAAAGAACGATGTACTTCTCAGGCATGCCGAGGGGAGATTGGCCAAGGGGAGTAGACGTCCGGCCATCGGCTCGGCCTGAAGAAGATGCGGCCAGCGCCTCGTCAGAGTCTGGAGGCACGGACGCTGGTCGGGCAGACAGTTCTCCCTCGGTGTCGGAGAAGGTCCGGGGGAAGAGGGCAGCGGTAGATGTGCTGGCCCAGAAGAAGAGAAAGACGGCAGGTGCCGCTCCCCTCAAGCCGAGCGCCATCTCGCTTGGCGGTGACCAGACCACTCGGATGCGGAGGACCGCGATGTTCGAGTGGTCGGATGACGACGAAGTTCCAGTTGCTCCTCCGCCGAGCACGAAGGTGCCTCCGCACAGCACGCGCGTGGAGGAACAATCGAGGGGAAGGGAAGAAGTTCCCCAAAAGTGGGCGACGGGAGCCCCAGAGCAGCGGACGGAGGGAGTCCCCAAGCAGTAGGCGAGAGGATCCCTGGAGCGGCGGGCGGAGGAGAGGCCGACGGTGGAGACCGTGGGACCTCCACCCTAAGACGCAGGCGTTGATCCCAAGGCCACAGCTGGGGGCTCAGGTAGGCAGTACCGGTTTAGAAAAATCTACCAGAAAGCCGCTACATAAGTACCCATGTCTTGGAATTATTTGGTTGTCATTTCCTTATCCTTTTTTGGTGATTGATGAGCTGATCTGATGCAGAGCGAGGCGCACGGAGGATCTCGCCCGACCCATCTGCATCGATGAGCAACCGAAGGCTGGCCCTAGGGCGAAGGAGATGCCGGTGGACCCCATCCCGGAGTCCCCGGGTGCTCGGCGACCTGCAGAGAGGAGTCAATCTGCTCTGCTGCTAGCGGACTTGGCGGTGGTGAGCGATCGGCCATCGCCATGCTGCAGACGACGATGGCGGCGATGCCGAGGCGGGCGGAAACCGCCGGTTCTTCTGCGGCGAATGCAGCAGATGCCGGTGCCACGCCTGAGTCTAGGATGGCGAAGCCGGTGGCGCCTGAGGAGCAACCAGCGCCTCCTGAGGTGTCGCAGGGCGTGGTCGGACTCACTGTCCGGCCACGGAGCCCCTCGGTGGTGCCTCCAGCCGTGGCAGAGGAGGACGAGGTGGAAGAGATCGAACATGAGGAATCTCGACCCCAGGCCATCCGGATCCTTCGTAGACGCGGCGATGAGGTGGTGGTTGTTGAGGTGGAGGACACCACTAGGGAGCTGAAGAGACTAGAGTCCGCCCTTGCTGGAGTGATGAAGCAAATCAAGGTCGGTACTACATCTGTAATGTTCATCTTTGACGTTGGAGATTGTTATTCTTCATAATCGTGGCATTTTGCGCAGGGGATAACTCGGACTACCGAGTAGCGGCACCAGCTGATAAAGAGGATGGAGCCCCTCGTCGAGGAGAATGAAAAACTCAAAGAGGCGATGAAGCTTATGGAGAAGAACATCCAGAGGGGCTAGCGCGAGCGAGACCTTGCTGAATCCAACGCGTAGGACCTAGAGTACCAGAAGGGCGTCCTATCTGAGCAGCTGGCGACCACATCCGAGCAGCTGCGAGGCAAGTCCGAGTAGCTGGCCACTGTTTCCGAACAACTAGAGCGGAAGACCAAGAAGCTCAAAAGCTTCTCTGGGCAAAAAGCAGGTATGGCGTATCGGTGAATGTGCTTTGTGGTGCTGAACAATCATGTTGTTGCTGACGACCGCTGTGCTTGTAGAGCAAGAAGTGAAGCTCAGCTAGCCGCGCCAGACCATCGGGCAACTCCGAGAGGAGAAGGCGAAGGAGTCAGGGCAAGCGGAGAAGCTGGCCGAGGAGCTGGAAGGTGAGTACTTCATGGTCAGAGTTACTGGTGGAGTAATTTCTTTGCTTGACAGACCCTTGTAATGCTTGCAGACTATCGTTGGAGGGTCAAGGCATAGTTCAAAGTGTTGGATCAGGAGGCCAGAACCCAGGGAAACAAGCTCGACGCTGTAGTTGCTACAATCAAATCGGTGCTCGACTGCGTCGGCCTAGAGGTAGCTCCTCAGCCCGACGGTAGGCCGCCATGTCCGAACACCATCATCGAGAGGTGCAAGGCAGTGTGGGAGAACTTCAAGAGCTTCAACCGCGACGCCATTGTTACCGCCGTTACTCACGCCCTTGCAGTGGTCCGGTCCCACTACCCAGCCGTTGACCTTTAGGCGATAGGGGCCGGATTCGCCGAAGGGATGAGCGCGATGGAGCATCAGCAGCTAGAGGATGAGGTGGACGACGTGGTGAAAAAGCTGGCCA